TCAGGTGAACACAGCGGACATAAAAGTGGGCTAAATCTTTTTAACTGAATCATGAAAGATGCAAAAGACTATTGCTTAAGAGAGTAATACAAATGCTTTCAGCCACAAAGTAAAGTAAAATGCAAAACTGGCAAAATTATCATCATAAAATTAAAGTGCATCCACTCATAAGTGCATAATAATACTGCTATTCATATACCGGTGCTGCAGGGTAGCAGGAATAATCAGTGTGTCGGCAACACTAATTGAAGCAGAATAGCTTCGACTTGGCAGCAGACTTAAACCTCGAAGATATCAACTGCGGTTTATTAGCATGAAATTCTCATTTATATTTCAGCTTAAACTGAGAGCTGATGACGTAGTTTTCCCATACGTGTACTGTACATATGAGTGTTTAAGTTTTAAGTATCAACCTCACTCATTTAAAGAGTAACATGGTGCACTGCCACTCCTACAAAACCTTTGGAAGAATCAAGATGCATTCTCTCACAGGAACCAGGCACAGGCCATCGCAGCGGGATAGGGGAGAAATGGGATGGGGTTGGGTTTTTTAGGGGTGTGAGTGTCACATCCAAAGATGCAAAGGCATTATTGATAGAAGCTGAGGGCTCAGAGAGAAAATGTCATTTACGTAACGTGCCCTGTGATGCCAGGCAGCTGAAGACAATGTGACCACTGAAAAAGACTGGAAAAGGCCTTTTATAGAAGGAGCAAAGAGAGATGCGTGTTTGTGAGTAAGAGGGTGGCGAGAGAAGATGCGTCTATCTTTTGTTCCTTTGTGTCTTACATTTTTCGTGTGTGTGCATGTTTGTCAAAAGAGGTTGTGATGTGTATGACATTGTTTTTTCAAAGGTTAGAACAAATAACTAATTTGTTCAAGCTAGGGCTAGCGGTGTAACACCAGCTGATGAATCACAGTCAGTCTTGTGTGTGTGTGTGTGTGTGTGCGTGTGTGTGTGTGTGTATGTGTGTGTGTGGGTGGGTCATGGACATTGTCAACTATTGATCAAGGACAGGGGCAAGATCGAGGTTGATGACAGAGGAGAGAAGGAAAATGCTCTACCTTTATATCTCACTTAAAAATAAACTTCTTTTAAACGTCACACATTTTTACACCACATTCATTCAAACACACGTACCGTTTGCTTAAACTCTGTATTATTGATCATCTCCCTATGTATGTATCAACAGGCAGTACCATAAATTACACACCCCTGCATCTAATTCTCTCTCTCTCTCTCTTCTTCTGAGAAGAGTAAAAACCTACAACTCCATTCATGAGGAATAGAGAAAAGCAATTTTCCCCAGTGTGCTTCCTGTTGTTCTCCTCCGGCCCCTCTGTTTGCTCTCTCTATCACATTCAGCTTGGCTCTGAGTGTGTTTTAATGGCAATCTCCCTATACGCTCCTCTATCAGTCTCCCTGTTTTTCATCCTGTGACTCCCCAGCCATGTGGAGGGCTACATGATGTCACTGGCACACGGCCAGAGAAGAAACGAGTGAAATAAAATCGCCAAACGGGGGGTGGTAAACAATCTGTTGTTTGGAAAATACTGTCTACAACTCTGGATTACTATCAAGGAGGTGATATTACAGGGGGAATTATATTAAAGAAAGCTATTAAAGCTATACGTGAGGGAGGGAAAAAAGTGCAGGAGTGAGAGAGAATAAAACAAAGACAGACACCCAAATCCTCATATAAGCGTGTCGTAGAGATGCCTTGTGATAAATGAGCTTTTATTGCTTTTTCCTATCTTTCCTCCCATCTCTCCGTCTTGTTTTTCTCTCCGTATGACCAAACCACTCCCTGCCCTCCAGCAGCACAGTATCAGCAACTCACACTAACCACATTACTTTTTAGTTATAACAACAACAAAAATGTCGCCCCCAAAGACAGAGAAAAGCACCATGAAATCAATTAGCATGAAAGCGCTCCACAAAATGAGATGCGCTCTACGGATGAGAAATAAGGTGATGGTACGTAAACCTTACCTGGCAAGAGGAAGCAGTTCCAGGTTACAATCCACTAAAGGCAGATACAGGCACTCCACACATCCCCATTAAGTGGCCTACTTCCTCTGTCAAACTGTTGTGTGAGTGTTTGTGGCTGGGTAGCCGGGCTGGTGTGTGTGATTCTGTCAGTGTGGGCTAGGGCAACCGAAGTGTGCACAGAGAGGGGAAGAGAGAGAGAGAGAGAGAGAGAGAGAGAGAGAGAGAGAGAGAGAGAAAGCCCAAGAGGCTAAGGAGGTAGACTCCCATGCTGCACAAACAAGTGAGAAGGAAAGCGGGAGAGGAAAGGAGAGAGAGGGAGGAGATAGCGATAATGATAAGAGACAAATGAGCAGCGAGCGCTCAGAGAGAAGAACATGTGCGTGCTGCGTATGTCCACCGAACATAATAACTGGTCTACGTGATTGCAGATGTGTGTGTGTGTCTGTAAATATTGTCTGACGTCTGTGTCCATTTGTGCCTGGACAACCTCCCTCAAGACATTAAGGCACTGCAGCAAGGTCCCACAGGATGCACAAAGCACACAATGAACACATATCCATTGTAAACACACACACACACACACACACACACACACACACACATAAACACGTGTATTAAGTTTAAACTCACATGCAGGTCTCTGCCACACACAATGCAGCTGTGAAGTCATATGAAGCAGAAACCATGCCACATACATAAAAACATCCTATATATAATGGCTGTTAATTACCGGCCTTAACACAAAGAAGTCATCTGTGTGTTGAAGGCATATGCTGTAAAATGTTTGTTACCAACTGTTAATACGGAGAATGTCCCTAAACTTCCTGGTTTTGCAGCCACATTTCTAAATTCAGTTCTTCTTAAATTCCTAATTGTCTAACAATTCTGATTCTGCCACTCACTCATTTTCTGAGTGAGTGCATTGGACTTTAAAAAGATAAGATTTAGAACATGTCTGTAAGTCAGAAGTTCGTAACATTAGATAAAAACCTACTCTACACAATACATTAGTTCTGTGCCGAGGCTTCGGAGCGTGTGTCGAGTAATCCAGGAACAAATAAAGTCTCCTCTCTACGCCACTTACTTATTACACAAGCTGCCCACTGCCTTTTTAAACCACTGCTGCTTTACAGTTTCAGACCACTAATATTTCCCCTCCTGCCATCATTATAATATGATACTTTTATTGACCAAAGAATCAATTTACACACATTTGATGACTAGTATTTGTTGTTGTCTAGGTTTTCTATTGTTGTTGTCAGAGCACCATCTAGTGGGCCTTTATGCCTCAACAATTTTAGATGAAGGGGTGCAAACCGAGCAGACCGTTACTCAAATTTAAATAATTTGTCATTAAAGGAATGCAAAGGCCGCAAAATGGCGTTGAACTCCTGGCAAACAACATTGTGGTGCATCGCCCCTAACAACTGGAATGGGGTGTGGAACGGGAAATGCGCATGCGTGGAACGCCGGAACAACGCAAACCCTCAATTGTTGTATGAATAGAGCCGCGTGTGCTGCCATGCGACTGGCACAAGTGTGTTGCCACTTGGCTAGCTAACGTTCCCTGAGATGCAGTGACACAAAACTTTGATTCATAATGGCAGGCAGTGATGGTGAGGGCAAGCAGCATATTTATTTTTGTCATTATCATGTTTTTACACACATTTTTAATTTGTGCATAACCTGAGCAGAAACACTGCAAAAGACGCTTGTTTGAGGTGGGAAAGTTAGTATATATCGATAAAATCAATATGCGACAAAGTGCAATGGAAAAAGCGAATAAATCGTGACAATCGTGAAACATTTGACTTGAACTTCCACTGAAGCTCCACTGAAGGGACTAAAAATAGAGGCAGACACAAACATCAGATCTGCAGGGAGCGCTAAGGAGACAGTGACATTCCTCAAATTAACAAATGAAACAAACAGAAATGCCATATTCCCATCATGTTTTTTCACATAGTTTTGAACTGTTTGAAGTCTGACTGGAGTGGTCCTGATATTTGCGTGATAGTATTTTTTTTAATTAGCACTTTACTTAAATGGACACCAGTCTAATGTGTAGATAAACAAATGTATACCGGAGTGATTAATTGAACAACATGGTACTCTCTCTCTCTCTCTCTCTCTCTCTCTCTCTCTCTGGCACTCTTGCTCTCTCGCTATTCCATAACCTCTCTCTCATTCCGTTATCTCAAGAGCCTCTCAATGCTACTACGGGGACATTTTTTTTTTCTCTCCACAGTGCGACAAGGAATATTTGACAATGAAAGGAGACACACACACAGCTGCTGTCTCTGTACACGGGTCAACGACCATCCACCACTGACAATACCCTTCAAGAGGTAAACGTCCAACACAAGATGGTGTCATATCCAGCAGGCAACAGTTATTCGAATTAATGCAAGGAAAAAAACTAAAGACATGAACTCAGAAGTCTTTGCAGCAATTACACTGATACTGATACAGTTGTAGAGCTTCTCCAACTATACATATGTATGCATAAATAGACACTGAAGTAAAAATAAGGCATCCAGATATTCTCAGGTGTTTTTAATTCCCTGCCTATGGAGCTACATGAGCCCCAATTCACTGAAGAATGAATCAAACCAGAGAAATTTGCCAAATTTATCCCAAACTTCTGTCTGAATTCTGCATGAAATTTGACCAAAAAAAACAGAGACGAAAACTTCCAACACGTCTCAAAAGAAACCACTGCTGTGCCGCGTGAACATTTCTGGTTATGTAAATGTGACTAATGCAGTTGTGACTTCACCTAGGACGGCATTTGCACAACAGTTGTGAAATAGTGCTGCTTACACACACACACAATCCAAAACACGGTCAATTCACACACACTCAGATACTTGCACCATATCTACAGTAAAAAGCATGTACACACACACACAAACACAATAATCTCAACTATAGAGACGCCACCTGAAGTCTCCAGAAAGAGCTCTCAGGTTGACCTTCACACCAGACCAAAATATAACAATACATTACCTTCGACACGGGCATCTGGACGCGAAGTGTGCTGAGTGTTTAAGCGTGTTGTCATTGGTTCGTGTCCCAGAGTACGGCAAAGAATGGCACAGTTCATCCACACACACACACACACACACTGACAAAGCACATGTGCAGCGCGAATAGACACAGGCTGCTGATCCAATGTGACCATATGTGATCTTTTTTTTCTTTTTTTTTTCAGGACGCATCAGTGCTTCAATTTCTCCTCCTCTTGTTTTGTTGCTGCAGTCCCAGCTTCTCCCCGAGCTCGGTAATAACGCGCATGTCAACGTGTGTGCAAAGGAGCAAAGGAGAGAGGGGAGAGAGAGTGTGTGTGTGGGGGGGGAGTAAATAGGGATTTGGTGAAGGACGGGAAATGAAGACAGATGGAATCAGGGAGAGACAGAGGTGTGAGAGTGAAAGGAGGAATTGTAAAAATGTGATTTATTAAAAATGTAGATTGATGGTTATGAAAAGATCAAATGCAACTAACTCTCTGCAGACAAAAGCAGTCAGTGTCCTTCATTCTCCCCCACTGCCTCTGTCTCTCTCTCTCTCTCTCTCTCTCTCTCTCTCTCTCTCTCTCTCTCTCTCTCTCCCTCTACATGCTATTTTTAGAAGTTGCTCCGTTGCAAATCAAAGCACTGAATCCAAACCTATCATAGAGAAGGATGTTAAGGGCCATGCCTTTCACACCTAATAAGACACACACACACACACACACACACACACACACACACACACAAACAACCACTGTCTGTTACAATGACCATGTGTCTGCATCAGGCCTAAGGGGAGCCATGGAAGCTATACGTCAGGCCTTATCTAATCATATCATGTGCTAATAAATAAGGGCCTTTTCAAATAGCTATTTTACACTGCACAGACCGCCGTCTCCCTCACCGTCTCTGGCTAGAGGTATTCTCGAGGACACATTTCCATGTGATGCATGAAGTAATGATTGACACCTAAAAAGTAGAATATCAACTTAAGGCCAACTACATTTCAATGTTTGCCAGTTTTTCGACTGCTTCCGGCACTTTACCCAGTTTTCTTGTTAATTGCATTGGCAGGATTTTCTCACAAACGTCATCAATCTAATCAAATATGTAAAAAAAAAAAAAATGACACTATTATCCCAGCTACATTGCATGCTCAGTGGAGCAGAAGTCTTTTTTTTTTTGGAGTAAAGAATGTGCATAATTAAATTTGACAGTGAATGGATTTCATGCTCGGCTGTACCTTCTTAAGACTAAGTCTGCGGGGCTCTTATCTGTGCTAGCTCCTGTGCTGATGCATGATTGCCATTATGTAACACAGTTATGAATAGTTAAAGGTGAGCTAAAATAAAGCCAAACACCACTCCATCAAAGGGAAATCATTAATGTTTAAAGAGAGACAAGGGAATGAATCCTAAACTACAGGCCACAATGAATAACATCCATGAGCTGCGTGTGTGTGTGTGTGTGTGTGTGTGTGTGTGTGTGGGTGTGTGTGTGTGTGTATAACTGACAGGGAAAGCTAGAAAGAAACACATTTGTTGATAAAGATGGACAGAGAGAGACTGGAGGTGGACAACTGCATAGTTGCACTCGATAATGCTGCAATAGAATTAGAAGAAATCTTTCATTTTAAACATAAAATAGAGAAAATAAAAACAGAGATGAGGTTTCTTGTTTTCTGGTCAACTTCTCAACTTCTCAGTGTAGAATGAGGAAAGCGCACCAGAATAACAAATACGCTCTCAAATATTTTGCCATGTGCATCCACATAGGAGTAAAATTATATGGAGGACTCATGAGTTTATCAATATTTCCAAGTAGTCAGCTAAAGAGCCTTTATTTATTAAAATGAAGGAAAGAGATGCTGACACTTTATCCTCTGTCACTCACATACAGAAAATAAGTAAAAAGTTACAGTAGCAGCTAGTGGACAGCTGTCCTGGATATCCTTCCTTAAAGACAACATGGCAACACACAGGCAAAAGGTCTGGAGGAGAGTTTTTGGATGTCAATACTTTACTACTTCACTAAAAAATTTTGACACTCTGCTAAAGTCAAAAATAAACTTCTGATACACTTTGGACAGATCTTGAAAGACTATCTCTCTAACTAGCAGACTACTCTGGTGCCAGAGATCGCATCAAATACCATTGAAAAGAAAAGAAAGAAACTGCATTATACATGAATGTTTAAGCTTGGTTCCTCATGTAGCATGCAGAGTGCTGTTTATATGCGTTTGTGTGTGTGTGTGTGTGCGTGTGTGTGTGTGTGTGTGCGGGTGTGCGAAGAAAAGAGACAAGCAAAGACAGGACAAATGGAATTCATCCGTGTCTAATTAGAGACAATGAAGGGGAAAGTGTGTGTCTGTTGCAAGGAAACAAAGAGAGCGAGAGAAATGTTAATCACGTGAATGACTTCATATATTGATACTCTACATTCACAATCTTGTTTTCAGACGGTTGGACGTGTACGATGTAAATATTTGTATCTAAACTGTTTGTAATTCCCCACTTACGATGGGATGACAGGTGTGAAGGAGCCTCTCTCACTACTCACTCCTATACTCATTCCTATTGTGACTGTACATGTCACTGTCTCAGCATACTGTCCGTCACCAGATGATCACTTCTAATATGCTTCCTCCGCTATCCTGCCGAGTCCTGCTAAAACACATCCAACCCCGATCTCATTGTGATCCAGCACAAATTCACTCTACATCGGTCCAAACCAGACCCTTTCTCAACCACGGTCAAACTCCTCGTTACGGCCTTTGTCGTCTTTCATTTGATCTATTTCCCCAGCAGATGTCCAATTTGGGGCAACTGGCGCTGTCACGCAAGGCAGCGGCCTGCCCATTGAAAGCAACCTCGGGTTCAGTGTCTTGCTCAAGGACACTACGACATGCAGACAGGAGACACCTAGGACTGAACCGCCAACATTGTGTTGAAGGAAGACCTGGTCGGTTGTAGCACACACAGAACGCATCACACAGACTTAAGAAGCAATCGAGGTAAATAAGCCAGATCAGGCAATCAGGGGAGGGAATGTGGTAGAATATGCTGCTGTTCTGAAGAGTTGACATGCAATGCTGAGAAATACAGTAGCATAGTTGCACATACTGACAAGTTGACATGTGTCAAGACGCTGCAGGTGTGTGTGTGGCCCTTTTTGTTGTAGACAAAATAGGGAAAATTGGAATGAATAATTCAGTTTTCCGATAAATCATGAAATGTGTAGTGGTGCTTATTTGCTGTTAGTTATTTTGTGTTGCTGCTTAAGATTCAGTGTGCCCTCGTAGTGAGATATGCTGCTCAAAAAGATGCATATTCACCGACACTTCCTATCTGTCCAGAGCTCCATGTATCATTGATCGAGTTGAGATGGAGGGACAAGGTAGAATAGGAAGTAAGAGGAGTTTCTGTAAATGCATCATGAATAAACAGTTTGACAAGTCAAGAGAAAGAGTAAGACTTAGAGGGAATGAGAGAGGGTCCTTGTGCTACTGAGTCACTGCTTCCTAAATGCTGTGTAATAACCACTTCCGCAGCTAAAACAGATTCTCATAAATGTGAAATGAGACATCCAGAGAGAGAGAGAACAGAACAAGCTGCATCCAAACCTCAGCAGACACACTTTCTTCATCAGCAGCCGCCATCTTTTGTTTTCACTCTTCATGTGAGCCTATATGCTCTCACGTGGACTATTGATGCACCTTTTACTGCAGATAGTTTGCTTTTCTCCTCCGACTCAGAGATGGAGAGCCAGCATTGCTCATTGAATTGCTAACTGTGTGTGATGAAGGGTGGCTGTCACTTCCAAAATGGCCAGTCCTCCCTTAATTCCCATTTGAGGGTGCGTGTGTGTGTGTGTGTGTGTGTGTGTGTGTGTGTGTGTGTGTGTGTG